CAAATTATTCACAATTACTTATTTCTATGTTATTGAGTTCATAAAGTGTTTAATTCTCCCACTATAATATATGAACATTAGTAAATTGGATTCACTGTTAATTTATGTCACCAATAAACACTAAACATGTGCCACATCCTCACAGTACAGATTAGGACATATGTCCTGCACAGGCGGTGTGTTTAAACAAAAAAAAAGAAAACAATTGTTAGTTCAAAATTGTAAAAAATGTTCTACATCTGGACTCTTGTACATAAGATACAGCTGTAGACAGTTTAACTGATTGCTTGAAACTGCTTCAAAACTCTTCATGAGTATGTATTAAATGAACAACACTAATGTAAAGAGGAGACTTCACATGAATATTCACTTTGAGAAAATAAAGCAAGAGTGTGTCTAGTTAGAAGGACCAAAATGAACGGATTGTTACAAATTTGCAACACTCCAAAAAACATCAAGAAGGTTTCAGTTATGTTTCTAACCTTGGCTCAAGTGTTGGAGGCTTGATTGTTTCTCTGGGGAGTCTTATCAAGCCTAGAAGACTTTGATCGCTGAACAACATATTCTGACAGGTTTATCTCAGAGTCCAAAATGCCATAATTTCCTCTTGCACTTCCTGTATGTGTGTGTGTGGGGGGGTTGCAAGCTTACAGCTGGTCCCGGTCCCAAGTCTTTATTTATTTATCTACTTTTTTATTTTAATGATCAAGGTGTTGCCTTGATTGAAAAAAAAAAAGGTTCTCTGGTGTCACTAAGTTTTTACTGAGTCCAGGAAAAAAAAAGTTTGCTTTCAATGGTGGAAGGTACAGTCAAGATACAATTTAGATCACGCTTATCAAACTTAGTTAAGAATTCAGCCTTTTTATCTTTAAAATAATAAACAACAATGACATTCACTAAGCAGGTAAGCAGATACATTTTGGGACATAAGGTGTCCTCTATTTTAAATCTCAAACATATAGAAGGAGTTTAACAATTATTAAAACCCATAGAGCTTTGTTTCTGCTACATATAACCCTTGGAAATTCAGAGACATGGTCCACTTCTACACCTCTTTCTGTGCTGGAGAAGGACCTGACAGGCGAGTGACACCACGGTTAGTCAGGTGACATAAACTGGTAATCTGTGCTGTGCTGCATCGCCATGGAAACATGCATGCCAGTAAGTACTGGGGATGGCAGGGTGCGTCTTTTCATGGCTCCGTTACACCCGTCTGACTCACTCATACACACATAACACACGCACGGCTGTCATCACAAAAACCTGATTGCAAAACATCATTAGCAGCGTGCCAGACTCAGCTGGAGCAAACTGGCCATCAGTTTGAGCCCCAAACACAGACTGGTCCACAGATTGCCCTGAAAGGATAACAGCTGACAGCTCAATTACAGTACGCTCCGCTCTTTTTTCCATTTATTTCTCTGGTCCAGCTCCACCTAGTTTCGTAAACAGGCCTTCAATTATAATGCCTTATTTTCTGGTTTTGTTTTTGTTTTTTGTTTTTTATTTGTTCTAATCTTCCTGATTCAGTCTGTTTAAATCTATACTTTAGGCAGATGGCATCAGACCTGCCTCCACTAGGACATAGGGACGGTCCCAAGAGGACAAAAACACAGAAGAAACTGTGAGGAAGAAACACACATTAGAAGCAAAGAGGATAATCCAACATGTTAAGGAGAGGGAAAGGACAGCAGATTAATTGAAAAAGATAAATATATAAAAAACTAGAAAGCAATATGAAAAAGGCAGTAAAATGACAAGGTGAATGTAAGACATGTGGTCTCTTCTTCTTTTACTGACAAATGTGGTTAATGTATTTCATCCTTTTTAGAAAAAAACCTGAGATACATCATTATCATTCATGACTTCCCACCAAGCATTCAGGTCTGTGGTTTTCCCAGTCAAGCCTCAGCTTGTATGAAAATTTGGCCCACTTCATAAAAAGGAATACATTGACGAGACTAACTGTCAAAGCTGAAGGCTAAATAGGATAAAAAGTAAAAGACAGGAACTTCTGACACCAAAAACGCCCCAGCTGGTGACCATACCATGCCATTTAGATCCTGTCCACTTCTAATTTATATTCATTAACAATTCCTTTGGAAGATACGTACTTGACTGTCTAAGGTGCCATATTGTCTTCAGGCAACAAACTCATTCCTGACAGCTTATATCTTCACACGTATCCCTATGACGCACGCAATGCTTAAAAAAAATAAATAGAAAGGTCCAAGATGGTAAGGCCATTTTACTTCACTCTTACAAATGGCCTCACATTTTTTGCTAGAGTGGGAAAATAAAAAAGTATAGCGATAGGTGATAAATTTCAATAAAAAGAAAATGTTTACATTATTGTAAAACCGAATGATAGCAAATTAATACATGGCCTAGGTTTAACCTCAACCTTTCTGCAGCAACTTGAGAAATAGGTGGTAAGAAATATATATCATAATTTTGCTGCGATCCAGAGAGGCGTGACATATTTGTAATGTTGGTTGTAATGAAAAAGTTCAAACCATTAAGTGGATTTAGTCTGACTTGAACCACACTTAAAGCACTATTAATCCTTAATTTGCCTTTTTTTATGATAAACTGTACAAACAGATGTCTCCATGTCTCAGGCATTATTTTGATTCCACAGAAGTCAGAATCCTGCCACTATATCCAAAAGCTGCCTTTTCTGTGCCCTTCTTCCATTAAAAAATGGTTACTGCATCTGATTTTTGCTGTTGGGGATGTGAACTGACCACAGCAATTCTACTCTGTGCAGAGGTATTCGCTTAGGAACTGACAATGAATTTTAAGATTTTCTTATGAGAAATGAAAACAAATCATGGTTTTCTCCATTTTAGAGGGTGATAAAAAAAATTGTTAAATCATTAAAATTGGATAAAAACAAGTCTGCATCATCCCAGTGTAGTAAAATGATTAAGTCCTTTTGTGTCAGTCACATGACCTAAAAGCTATGCGACAAAATAAATGCAACAAAACTGGACAGAAGGGACTGCAAGGGGACTATATGCACAAGCAGAAACATTTAAAATGGTATAACTACCTTCCACAGCACTAGTAAGCAGTATGTTCTACTAACAAACAGCTTTACAAACACTTTTTAAGCAATGGCTGCTTAACTGATTGAAATTTGGATGAAGTGTGCTTCAGTGCAAGCGCCTCACTTTTAATCATTTTAATAATTTCCTAAAGTGGGATAGTTTTAGATTCCCCTGAATTAAATTCTGTAAATAAATAAATAAATAAAAAAATAAGAAGAATAATAACTTTTTTTTTAAACTCCTTTTAGGGACCTTCAGCTATTCCTTTAATAATCAGCTGATCGAAAAAAACTGAACAGTTTAGCTAATTAGCAAGATAATCATCACTTGGGGGCTTAAGCCAGGAAACTGCAACCAAACAACCGTTTAGAAAGTCTGTTTATTAGTCCGTACAAACTAAAGCAGTCTGATGACTGAGGTTCCCATCTAAGACGACATGAACCACTGCTTTGCAAAATTCAAACTAATTGAAAGAATCATTGAATAGACTTTTAATAGTTTAAGAAGAATCAAAATATTTCATTCGGGACTCAAGACGGCAGATCTAGATGAAAACTGAAATTATTTTAAAAACATTAGAATGTTGAATCATTTTCCAGTGGAATAAGTCAATTTCAAAATGCAAAATATGAAAGTAAGTGAAGCTGTCAGGCACAAAGGACCATTTCTTCAGATTTTGTTCACATGAGAAAAGCATCAAGGTCAGATAAGAGGAACACACAGGAGTTACAGCCTACTATACAAGACTGGACTGTTAGGATTGTCATCTATGGTTACTAGAATAAATGCCAAAAAATGTTGGCTACCTACATAATTTTGATCTTTTTGCTTGTTTTGTTCTTTTTATAACTGCAGTAAGATCTTAATATATGAAAATACTTCAATTATTTTATTAAATACTGAAAGTAAGTAAATTTGCATCCACTTTTTTCTGTGTAAATTTACGGATGTAAATTTACATCCACTGGGCACTATGACCAGTGTCAGGTATGGCCATCTACTGTTATAAGACACCTTCCAACAGGCTGAAAATAGGGCGGCACAACATTAGAAAAACGTGACACTGTAGTGTTTATAATGATGTTGATCATCATGTTACTGATGCATAATAATAACTAAAGTTTCACCTCCAGTGGAATATAAATCTGGCATGCAAAGTCTGAAATTGTATCAACGAACAAATGTGGCATCCTGACTCTTTGCAATAAGACTGCACAAATTAATATTAGAATGACACAAACATAATCTTATCCCAAGGTGAAAGAGCGACCTTAAAATCCTACAGGTTTGCTCTGGCAGAATGAGGCATTATTTTTACAGATGGAAACTCCAGGACACAGTCCAGAGTAAAACACAATTAGATATTCTTTGGGATGTTTTGAAGAAGAATAGAAGAGAGGCTCCAGCCCGTCCATCAGCAAAGGAAGCCAAAGGTAATTTTAGAAAAATGTCTGTAGATATTACGCTAACATAAAGACAATCCCATGTTGCAAACAAATTCAACAGCTTGATGGAATTTCCTGTTGGACAATTCAGTGTCTAATTGCGTATAAACAAATGTTAATCTTAAAGTGTAAAATGATTATTTTAGAAAACTACACCAACAAAAATGAATTTTGTTTATCCTTCACTGATTTAACTGAGTAAGGAGTAGCTAAAGCTCTTTGCTGGAGGGCATTGGCATGATATATAACATGCAAATAAGTAGTTAAAAACTACGATTTAAATTCTTGTTGGATTTTGGTTACCTGCTAAATCTGATCTGTAGTTACCAATTATTAACCTACGAGCTACTATACCATTTACTTTAAACAGCAGTTTGATGACATAACAGAGTCAGGAGATATCAACCGCATCATATCCAAGATAACGGATCCAGTCCGCCCATAGAAGGCCCCAGCAATAGACAGAAACAAGAGTAGCTCTAAAGCAGTGTAACAGGCCCACCTTTGGCTCCATGGAGATGAAACTATGACGGCCACGGCTAGATAAAGTGGACCTCTTGATAGTTCGACTGTGGAAGAAGTGGTAGTGGTCTTTGAGATCCCCGATCTGAAAAAACACACATGCAGAAATTAACATAATATCTTTACCTTTTACTGTAGCAGTGATAATTAAAGTCAGAAAATACCGAATATTTACTGATGAAACTTAAAGTGAACCGTCTATACACAAGTCATAAAGTCAGCTGTCAGTAATAAAAGTTGTGATATGACTAAAGCTTCATAAAACCAGGAAAATATTTAACTGTAATACTTATATTTAAAATGAAGATGGCGATGCAGAATAATCAGGGGGCAGTTGATGTGTTGATTTTAGATACAGAAGGATTTCAAGATGTTTATGTGTGCAAAAGCAGAGAGATGGTTAAATATTACAGTTTATTACTCTAACTCTGACAAAGACATTTGGTTTTTCTCCTTTTCCCTCAACTTCAAATATTAAAACAAATTTCAACAAAAACTTTTATGCTGGGATGAAATTATTATGGATTTCACTTACAGGGTAGGGTAGGGTAGGGTAGGGTAGGGCTTTATTTCTACCAGATGCAGAGGGAAACTACAAGAGCAGCAATCTGATTTCCCCAGTAAGAGACAATTAAAGATTATTCTATTCTATTAGCTGCCTAGCAGCTAATGCTACGTAGAAAACATTGTTTGTGGATTCTCGGTTTAATTGGTTACCAGCTCTTCAGATTACTCTTGGCTCTCTTCCACTTGGTTACTCTCAGCACAGCATGCCATGACTCTGCTTATTTATCAGGGTTTTCAAATAGTTACAGCTGTATGGAACCAGAACCTTTTTTAGTACTTCCTACTAGGCTTGTCCCGATCCGATCCACGTATCGGATCGGGACGCCGATATTGGCAAAAAAATGCGATCGGCAAAGCATGTAAAATGCCGATCCAGACTGCCGATCCAGTTTTTAAAAAAAAATCTGGTCCGTATTTTCCAGTTTCGTCGATTGAAACGATCCATTCCACTATTTTGCGCCAGTGTTCCCGTTTTGCATTTTTATTAAAACTTACAGTAATACTTGCACCTTTAACTGTTTACGGTTTTACTGCTCACTGTGCAATTTCAGATTGCTATTCATAATTTTGTCCAGTTTGTGTTTATCTCTTAATAAACAGGTAAGTTTGTTGTTACCAATCATTGTGTTTTATTCAATCTCACCTAATTCAGCTGGCTAGATGTTATCAAGAGTACTAAAACCCTTTTCAACATGAGTCTTACAACTAAGGCTAAATACTTTAACTTAAACTTAAATACATGCTCGGATAGGCTGGTATCGGCCAGTATCGGTATCGGATCGGAAGTCCAAAAACAATATCGGTATCGGATCGGAAGTGCAAAAACCTGGATCGGGACATCTCTACTTCCTACAGTACCAAGTGACCAAGTTGTGCTGGAAATGGGATAAACTCAGATTTTCCTTTTTTTTTTCCGCATAGCTTTTAGATCCTGGGTAGGGTTGGTATCACTTCTTGAGGAAGTCAGAAGAATCTCAGTGCAAATATTTAATTACAATATTTATAAGCATGTCACATTTTCTTGAAATAAGAGTTTTTTCCATTGAATTCAGCAGGTAAGAAATTCAATTTGGAATAAGAGGATTAACATTTTAAATTTGAAAAACAAAATCACCCTCAATAATAATTAGGGGTGTTCCAATGCAACTTTTAATTTTCTTATACGATACCGATATTGACCAATACGATTTTAGCACAAATCATAGCAGCTTTTATTACTTTTTTTATAAATATCATAAAACAGCTGCCTTATACAAAATTAACCAATGAGTTACAGAAACCTTTAACAGCAAACATTTCTGTTAGTATCAAAGTATTCTAGATTTTAGATGCTGGCAGCTGAAATTTGATATACGTAAACCAAAAAAATGATATCAGACAGATATTAATATTGGATCAGGACAACTGTCAATGAAAAAAATTTATATAGTTGCATATATTTTATCTAATGATAGTGACTTCTAGTGGCTAAACATTTGCTACCCTAGTTTTAGCGATATTCTAGCATGAGTTTCAACAAAGCAATTTCTGACACTAATAAACTGCCGATTTTAACATTTACCATAAAAAAAAAAAAGTAGTCAGAGCCAGACCGCTTTATGGGACCACTTTCTACCCTAATATGCTATATTCACAGGTCCTAATGCTTAGGTCTAATTTTTCTGATTCAAAACACTTCAGTCTGAATGGTTCATGACTCCAAAAAAGCTGCATGTTTGCCCCAAGTACCGGTAGCAATGGGAGCTGAACATATTTTGACTTCCATAACAAGATGAAGAAGGTGATCAATAAATAAGAAACATTTTTACAATGGCATTTTGAGGAGCAGTGACACTTCTACTTCTGTAGAGAAGCCTCTGTGAATATGAGGAGTAAGTTAACATAGAAGTGTGATGAAATGTGACATGACCATACAGACTGCAACAAAAACTTTTAGACACTACAGGATATACATCCAGCTAAATACCACCTATGGAAGTAGCACAGCTCAGTGTTTTTGAGAGATGAAAAGGTCAGAATTGGACCAATGAAAGAGCATTTGAACAGTATGGGTTAGGGGTTGCATATGGGGAAAGAAGAAAAAAGATTTGGGCTACCTGCCAAAGAGTTGCTAGCACAGCGCTTTAAACTTGTTAGTTGGTTTCACTTTTAATTTGCCAATTTTATCCTAACAAACCAAAATAAAACAGAATATGTCAGCATCAATAAGGGGTTTGATTCCTGTTTGCAGTGCTGTTGGTATACATATAAAAACAAACCTGTCTGGTACTCACTAAATCAGCTTGCTGTTCAAAACAAGGTAAATAAAGACTATATTTTAGCACCCGTTTGCAGTGACCCTGGGAAAGATATTGTGATTTAGGTAGATAAACCCTCCACATTATGTTAGTCCAGATCAGTCAATTCCATCCATAGGAGGCTGTGTGTAGAATTTAGCAGTCCACCTGAAAACCTGTGTGAGGTAATTGAATAATCTCCCAAGTTTATCACTAGATTGTTCATAAAACTGCTAAGACCCATTAATTTGATCCAGATGTGGTCCAGCAGCATAAATCGAAGCGGTGGTAAAAGTACAGTCCTTGAGGAATGGCGTTCTTAAATTTGTAGATGCATCCAGACCTCTCTACAGTTGACAGTAATGTTAACTCATCTCTTTAGAGCTCGCTGCACAAGTTTTTTTTATTCAGATAAGAACGGCAAGGATTGGAGTTTGAGACCAGTGATCTTAAAGATGTACGAGACCTGCTGTTACTGGAATCTTTTCACTTTTGTCCAAGGTTGACTCTAATTTACCAAGAATGGAACTTGAACTTGTGGAGGATAAAACATATTCCTCCTCGACTTCCTGGCTGTGTGTTTGCCATTATGCTAATAAATTAAGGAAGGTCTGATCCGATGCCTATATGATTGTTTCTGATCAGATTATGACGTTAATCCCAAATGAAGAAGGAGTTTTAACATCCAGAATGGATTCGGTTTTCCCACATTCCTAGCACACAATGTATGCAACTTGAAAGCTATAAGGAGAAATATATTCTGGGAGTAACAACCAAGGTTCCTTTGTTGCTGCTTTTGTTACTCATATTTTAAGTCCTAAAGGTTTAAAAAATAAGAGCAAGGAAAAGTTAAAGAAATTGTTAAAAAAAAATGAAATTAAGTGAAACGTTCTTTGACTGACATTGGATCGTAAACAGGTAACGCAACGGTTAACAGTCGGTGAGCTGCTGTAAGGTGAGAATTCTTAATAATTGATTAAGAGCATCCAATCCCTCAGATGATCAAACTGTCATGGCCCCCATGGCTCTAGTGGTGCATAAGAGCTCCACCACCACAGAGTCGATTGGATTAGCTTTCAGCTCTAACATACGCCAACATTTTCCGGCTTGCACTGAGAAGAGGAACGAGCAACTCCAAATAAATCCAAATCTTCGCCTCAAACATGTCCTTATCACCTCTCTTTTTTTATCTTTAAAGGCACAAATTATCACCGTAGTTATGACAACCTGTGATCACAGGCGCACATGCAGGTCCGTTACCTCTGCAGGTAACAGATGTTATCTGCATGGAACAGTCGCAACAGACAGCTACTAGTTCTCAATAGAAACAACAGAATAATCTGTAGACTGGGTGGTTGTAAGGAAGTGCGTGCATGGATGATATTCAGTGCTTTATAAGCTTGATTTTTCCCCAGATTAATTAAATTTTCATCTCACCTGCAGAGTACTCTTGGGAACTCAAACAAAAACAAACACATTGCCTCAAAATAAAACAAATATAACAATTGTTTAACAGCTCAACATGGAGATTTCGGTTTTAATCTGAAGAACTCTGGACAGTAGAGTTCTGTTGTATTATATTTTGCATATCTTGGAAGTAATCCTTAATGTCTTAATATATACATTTTTTTTTTTTTATGTGATAGAGAACCATAAGGATATAGGACACCATAGTCAATTCTACTCTGAACAATTCTCAACAGCCCAGGTGAAACAATATAACCCAAGATCAAGAACAAAAGAGACAATTTTAAACTCTTTTCCAGACCTGGAATTTGCCTTGATTGATAAAACCAGAATCTCTCAGTTGTCCAGCTGCAGGACAGTTGTCTGAAGTCTAACAGCAGTAGATCTAACTCCTCGTTAGCTAAAAATAAAACCTACATTTTTAAGGAGGGATATTAAAAAGTCCAGACTATATGGCTTGACCTTAAACAGACATTTTGTACTGAAAGAAAATCCACTATTGCGTCTGTTGTTGCAAAAAAGCAAAACAAATCTATGACTCTCTTTTGACCCCCAGTCAATGTTCCTGATCTGTGTCGCCTCTAAACAACCTCCTGCTAGACATTTAGACTTTTATTGGAAGCACACAACATTTCCCGCTTAAAGCAGACTATGATTACATTAAAGAAAACCAAGAATCTTTATTCTCAATATAGAATTTAATAAAACATAGACAAAGAGATGGGGGAAAAAAACACAAAAAAAAGACTTTTTGTGTCTAGAGGGGAGTGCTTGCTTTGCCAGCTCTGGAAAAGAAACTGTACAGCAAAGCATAATGATCTGTGAAACTAAACATCCAAAGATGCGAATACATTTGTTTTAATTCTAAACAAAAGGAAAAATGCACAGTTTTTAAAAAATTTTATCCCCTTCTTTCTTCCTTTGAGGTACGTTATTTCTTTATTTGGGCAAATTATTTTTTCATTTCCCAGATCAATAGTCTGAAAATTATCACACATCTGAAGTCTAAGAAAACCATTCCCTACATGCAGTCTCCTTCAACAGAGGTTCTGCATGGAAAATCACAACATAACATGCTCCAAAGTCTAACGACCTCAACAAGTATGTTTGTGCTTGTATGGAGGGGGGGCTGGAGCATGTGGCATCAATGCAAACTGTACGAATAACCATCCTGAGCCGTTATTGATCTGAGGGCCTCCAGTCTACGTCTGGCTCCAAGTTATGACCGTCCTCAATAGGTTCCACATCCTCTCCCACTTCTTCTAAACACCAATTTAAACTGACATCCACATTTGGGGCCTCATCAGCTGATTTAGACTCAATTTGGGCCAGTGTCTTAGACTGGGAAGGGGGCTCCACGGCTAAGAGGATTACCCAGAATTCCCAAACGAGGTGCTCTAGTACTCCATGCCAACTCCTTTCGTCTATCTATGGTGCTCGCTTTCGATCCCTTGTTTTGCCATCTCTCTCAGTGTGTGCTTATCTTTGTCTGATTTCCTCTTCCCAACCCAGGAAAGAAGAGCATATTGTCCCAATGCTGCATTTTTTTCCCTTCCCATCCCCCCTTTGTATTCCTTTAAGCACTTGATCCCACGCACAATTAAACCCCTCTTCTAATTTAGCATGCATATCATTGTTTTATAGTTTATCCCTGGTTACCAACTCAGGCTCTAACACTGGTAAAACTTGCACATAAAATGGAATAATAAAAAAATACATTTTCTATTCCCTAAATTAGGTTCACATTAGTATAAATGTTGTTCTGATAAGAAGGCTGAGGGCCGACAGAGATGTCAGAGTTCACATTAAGCAACCAGAGCGTGCTGCTATCAGTCCCCTGGGAGCGGCTTTCAGATGACCCCAAAATAAGGAAGTGGAGTGAAACTCTTGTCTATGAGGTGTCAAAGTCCAATGAGTACTCCATATTGAGATGGAAATCAGGGCGAACAGCGGGGGTTGGGGGCGCCAAACCACTCTAGTGGGGAATTCCTATGTGCAGGGTGGTGTAGAGGGGGTGGTATGGAAAAATTGGGAGTGTGTGTGTGACTGAGAAAGGGGGTGCAGGGGGTGGGGTGAAGAGATTCAACACATTAGTTGCTGTCAAAGAGAGGGGATAAACGAGGCCATTAAGGCCTGCTCTTGCCGGGAGTATGGTGGGTGGGCAGGCTGGGTAAGGTGGAGAGGGAGGGGGTGGATGGGGGGATTCAATAGCTGTTGACTAGGCTACCCCACAACAACCTGTCAGAATGCCCCCCTCCCCATGTTCTGTGTTGTCTGCACACCCAACGCTGGCAAGTGCAGGCATGAGCTGACCATGTATGATGGTGGTGCTGGAGTGTGTGTGTATGCGTGTGTTGGATCCACATTTCTTTGGCCGGCCACAGTGTTTAAACTTTGTTGAAATACATGTACGAACGGAAAAAAACCCCCACAAAAAACAACCTACTTCCTCTGATAGTTTTTTATCTCTTAATTCAACCTCTCCTTTTATTTGTCAACTTTATTTAACTAATATAAATATTTTAAATCTTTTAATTAAAAAAAGAACTGGCATTAAAGCAGCTCTTGTAAAGTAAATCATTATAAAATCAGGG